AGGAACATCGTTACTACTCGTTGTTGGGACAATTCTTATATATGTCAACCTTCATCCTCCACAGCCAGGCAAGCCTGCAAATAAAAAAATGCTCAACTTTTCTTCACATCCGAGAGGGCACTCTCAGCAGAGTCTTTCGAAATACTCAGCTTCTTTTCCCCCCCGATAATACCTCTGTAAACAAGCCACACCAGAGTAAGAGTATCTCATATCATGCTTTTTCCCTATCTTTTCCTTTGCCTTTACTCTTACCTGTAAGACAAGGAGAAAGAAAGCAATCTGTCAGAACCTGAATTCAAACTTCCGATCTGGAACTGATTGCCCAAAACCTTTGCCTGGCTGCTCACCTAGCATTACTCTCGAGTACTCATCCTCAACTGTTGTCAAGGTCACGAATCCTTTCGGCAAATATTTCAGAACAGTTGATACTGTTTATACCATACTTAGGACCTCCGTATTTAGATCTTGTATAAATACTCGGGGGACTCAAATATAATTATGTAATAAAGGAAGGGGCAAATATGTAATAAGTGAGGAACCCTTATTCTATAAAAGGACCCCTCACCCTCACAATTAGGGGAGGCCAATTTCTTAGGCCATGGAAGGGTTCTCTGACTCTCAGAAGCTCTCTCCATCTTTCTCCCTCACAAACAGAGAAATACAATAATCAGTGTGGACGTAGCCCAAACCTTAGGGTGAACCACGATACATCTTGTGTTATTTACATTTCTTGCAGATTCACGGTCGGATTTACGCTGTTCCAACTTTGGTACAACAGAAAGTGTTAAGTTTGTAACCTTCGCTAGATTGCTCCGGTCACTAGTGTGGATAAATATGTAAATGGATAGAGACAGGGAAGCAAACACAAGATGTACGTGGTTCACCTAGATTGGCTACGTCCACGGAGTAGATGAGTTCTCATTAATTGTGAAGGGTTTACACAATTACATAGGTTCAAGCTCTCCTTTAGTGAGTACTAGTGAATGATTTAGTACAAATGACATTAGGAAATATTGTGAGAGAATGATCTCTATTTATAGAAGAGAGTTTCTAGTTTCATTCTGACATTGACACGTGTCGTGTTGTGATTGGCTTCTGATGTTGACACGTGTCGTGCTATGATTGGCTTCTGATGTCGATACGTGTCGCGTTATGATTGGCCTCCTGGTTGGAGGGAAACTCTTCTGGGTCCTTGACAATATAACGTTGACCAGTGCTCAGTAGTTTCGGGATTGGTCAAGTAAGGTACAAACAGTGCTCCCCTAAGTTCTCGAGTGAGGGAAGCTCCTCGGTTGGGGACTTGCAAGATCCAAGCCATTGAGTAATCACGAAACTTCTAAGTACCGAAGTGTGGTATCATTTTCACTTGCCTTATTTGTCTCATACGTAGATGTGGCATCTTCTCTGGAAGTACTTTTCCTCCATCCAGGGGTGATATCTTTAACCGATGAAGATGCACAAGGTAATGTATCAATTTCACTTAAAGCTTACTTGTAGTTTTGAGCTTGGTCAAGTGCGATACAAAACCCTATAGTAGGAGTCCCCCAAGTCGCCGAGCTAGGAGATTTGCTGAAAGAGGTAACAGACAAGGTAAGCAATTAAACTTCCAAGCAAGCAACCTGGATCGGAGGTTCGACTTCGGCTTCCGGTTGATTGTTCTCCTTCTCCTTGTGTCGTAAACAGCAACAAGGATAAAGAGAAGCAAATGGAGAAAAGATGATATGAGATACTTTTGATTTTGAAGAAGTAACTTTCCACAGGCTTATTTAAAACAATCATAGGTAACGACACCAATTTCTTGATAGAATTTTTAATAGCTGCACAAATAGGGTTAAATGCACTCAAATACTTGTAAGAGTACAAGATAATTGTAGTATACTTGCTCATGCGAGATCATTGTCCACAAAGATTGGTTAAATAATTTGTACTTAAACTAATCCTTCATTAACTATTTAAAAACAAATTTTATCAAAGATTTGAGATTTTGAAATTTGAAAGATAAAAACATACTCAGACAATTTTAAATAAATCCATGAAAGTTTAAAGGTATTCAATCAAGATGTTAAAGAAGTCTATAAACTCATGGTGTATTAAATCAGAATTTATTTTAAAAGATTTTAAAAATTGAAAGATTTCGATAAATTTAGAGGAATTTAAAAGATTTTAAGATTTAATAAAGCATGCTTGTCTTCTAAGATTTTGAATGAGTTCACCTAAATTTCACAAGGGGTTTATTGAACTTTGCTAAATTTCATAAATTTATAACTCTTTTAACTCTTCAAATTGTCGATTGAGCACACTCAGCTTACTATATTAATACACTTGCTTTTGGAAAAAATACCGCTTGCTAAATTTATTTTTATTAACAACGAATGATTGATTGTGCTTATCCTAATATTAAAAATATTTTATCAGCTCAACAAGATTGCACCAATCACCTCAAGAACAAGCGCCTTCATAAAACATTCCCAAATGTGCCTTAAGCATCTCCAAGAAAACTTCTATTTTTTTGTTAAACTAGCTAATGAACAGTATACAAAACTAGTTTAGCTACTCAAATTATTTTATCTACTCAGTTTAGCTTTTCATTAATATTTTATTTTAACAAACTGTGAATAATTTATAACTCAACACACTTGTTTTCTAAAACAACATTCTCTCTTTCCTTTTGTCCTGGCTCAAGGGTCCACCTTGATTTTTTTTTTTTAATATTTAGCAAGTAAGTAGTTGCACTCAAAATTTAAAAAATAACTATTCATTTTAGGGAAAACTAATGAAAATGACTTCAAAACTTTTAGTTTTAACAAAAACTTAGTGCTATAACTTTGTTTTAATGATAAGGATAAAAGAAAAAAGAAAAAACCTAACTAAAGGCGCATGCAAAGAGCACCCAATCAATTCTTCAATTGCATAACCCTTTGACCTAATCCAAGCATATTTTATTCCTCTAAAATTAAAATTTCAAATTGAAGTGGGTTCCATTTGATTCAGAACTACATTTGGGACGGTATGGTTGGGAGGGAGTCGCTCAGGTGTGGGCGTTGACGTTATTCTCTATCATGTTTATTTTATTTTTAGCCATGCATGACTTTAATGGCTTGGACGTTGATCTCTATCATTTTTTTATAATCTTTTTATTGCTTTCTAGTGAAAGAACTTGAAAATCTGGGATGAGTTTCATAAATAGTGTCGTACCGTTAAGTTTCATAAACAGTGTAGTATCGTTAAGTTTCATAAACAGTGTAGTAAATTTCATAAATAGTGTAGTATCATTAAGTTTCATAAATAGTGTCGTAAGTTTCATAAACAGTTTGTATGAGTGGCGCGCGAGTCAGCTCGTTGGTTTTTTTTTTAATATTAAAAATATATTTTTTTGTCCTTTTTATTAAAATTTAAGGATTTTTTTATTAAATTTTAAATCTTTTTCATTAAATAAAGTTATAACATGATTTTTTTTAGGGATGTTTTGAAATAGGTACCTCAATTTTGAATTTTTAAAATTAAACATCCATGTCTTTTAGAGATTTGATTAAACTCTTCTTCTCATAATTTTGGTGCCACATGTATTATAATTAATAATTTTTGTACCAAAATTACATAACCTACCACTGCTCCACAATTCTTAAAACCTCATGCCAACAATCCCTATAATCTAGCATTTTGATTACTCTCTCCCTGTTTGGAGATAATTGTAAAAAAAAAAGTAGTTAAATACAATTTATTTTCACAATACTTCCCACAAGTTAGCAATGATTATCTACGATTTAATATATATTTTTTTTCAAAACGATTTTAAATATTTTTAAATCCAACGAAATCAAACGTACCAAAAATAGGATTGACAATAGTATAAACGTACCAATAAATAATGTGTACAAAATCAAAAGTACCAAAACTAAAAATAAGGTACCAATATATACCAAATCAAACATACCAAAACCGTAAATAAACGTACCAATCAATGTTCTTTACAAATTCAAACGTACCCAGCGAGAATATACACATAACTTGTTGTACCTGATAATAGTTTGTCAACAACTATAAGTAAAAAAAAGTGCAAAGAAAAATAGTTTGACATAAAAAAAAATGAAAAAATTACTGTGGATCACCAACAATTTAGAAAAAAAAAATCCATAAAAACAAACCATTTGGAAAAAGAGAGAATATTTAATGTTTGTAGGACAAAACAATTTATTTTGATCGAAAGAATATAAATGGAAAAAGAGATATTAGAGTTAATAACTAATATCCCACTAAATAAGGAAAAAAAACATTTGGGAAATTTTATTTGAACCCAACTTACTCTTTATACCCATAGTATTTTTAATTAAAGAACTAATATCTCTTTAAACCCAAATTTAGTACCTAAATTACCCTAACAAACCCAATTTAAAATGTAAATTATCTTTACACCATTTAGAAAATAAAATCCCAAATGAATAATTTGGTAAAGTTTGTACTTGTTTATGAGAATAAAAGCTTTCTGGAGTTTGAATTTTATGGACAAGTTGAATAATTTGGTGAAGTTTCTACTTGTTTATGAATATTCCATATACATAACACTTCGATATCTTGTTTTCTTGATATCCATGTCCCCACAGTTTTAGTTGCATAAACATAAAGTCCCGTGCTTTCATATGCCTGCTTTCATATTTTATATGGGTCTTGCAACATTCCTGCTTGTAACTGATAGAGTGCAAAAACCATATCTGCAGTTCAGTCCAAATAGATAGGGTCTCATTAACGGCATAAGAGGATACTTGACATCTGATTTCTTTACCACGGGATTCAAGGTCATGGCTCTTCTGTTTGCTGTGTATGTAACCTGGCCAATGCTTGGCTTTCCGCCCTTGGTTTCTGTCATTCCCTTCCGCCCTTGGTTCGGTTCTCAACGGTTCGGTTTTTTCCCAAAACCGAAACCGAACCGAAATTTCGGTTCGGTTTTGGTTTTTTTTCGGTTTTTTTTTTTTTTTTTTTTTTCTTCCTCCTCAAATATTTAAAAAAAAAATGAAAATATGAAAGTTTACATTCAAAGTCACTTCAGAGTCATCCTTTTTCGGTTATTCAACACAACACAACACACACACACCATGCCCATTGTGACCGCTGATGCTCGTCATAGATATTTGTTTGGGCATAAACATCAGGTTTATGTTGTACTGAGGTGTGAGTCCTCACTAAGCTCAAGCAAACAAGGACGAATAGTTTTCTCCACCACCTGTGCAAAGCGTGTTACGCATAAGTGCTTTCAGTGCTTTAACTCGATTTCAGTATTGTATTTTGAAAATTATGCTCCTTTGCGTAAGGACTATCAAATGAAAAGATCTCTATTACTTACCGATTGATCAACTATCGGAATAATTGACTGCAACACCTTAGCCACATTGAACTTGATGTTTGGTACCCTACAAGAAGAAATTCTCAACCCTACCGTGCAAACTAAATCAAACAAAAAGCGTAGTTTAACTTAATAGCTTCTAATCTATACCTGTCTTTTGATGCAGTGCCAGTGACTATCACCGGTACAAGCCTGGAACAAGTGAGTTCTGATCCCAAAACAGGGGCAAGTAGGGAAATGGCATTCAAATTCAATATGAAAACTTTAACTAATTTACATAATGTTAATGACTAGGATTTCAGAATTTAAAAGCGTTTCTTGGTCTCTTAAACCAGAAAACTTCAACAAGAGTTGCTCATGCTTATACTATCACTATGTTCCTTTGCAAGTGCTAAAATTTCCTTATCAGATCATCATTACTGTCTGTAAAAGTAAAAATTTAGCACCATACTGCAAAATCTTTTTCTGATTCACCAACATTGCTTCAGCACAAATCTTAGCTATATGTCACATAAAAGCAGTATGCTACTAAACAGGTCTACCTTCCTCGAGAATCCAGAACAAAATTGAATACCACTTAGTCCAACCACCAGATATAATGTACTTTATAAAAAATCTCATGTTTAACCACCAGTTCGACACACACAGAAAAAAGAATATGTAAACATACAGAAAGAAAAACTTGTGAGGAGTCAATACCTGGAGGACTTTGGGGCCGAGGAGGTGAGAGGACTTTCGGAGGGTATGGGTTCGGGCAAGGACCTGGAGGAGATGGATTTGAGTTCCATGTTGGTGAGCTCCAACTCCACCGAATCCACCACAGTACGAGTGTCATCGGACAAGGCGGAGTGGATCAGGATCATCGCCTTCACTTGTTCGAGGTCGCCGAAGCACCATCCTCTGGTTCATAGGGTTTCGATTGCAGCGTCGGAAGCAGCGCCGGAACTCCCCCATCCATTTTTCAGCGCCTGTTTGCCGCAACGTTTGATTTTTGGGGCTCGAAACGGCAAGAAGAAGCTCATGGCGAGGGCGAGGTGTGAGAGATTGAGAGTGAGAAGGGTCGCGCCGTCGCGGGTCGCCTAGGATTCAAGACCAAGAGAGACAGAGAGTTTGAGAAAGACAGAGATGAGGCTCGGCTGCGCGAGAAGGTTACTCGGTTAGGGTTACACTGGAGGCAAGGAAGGGAACGAGAGAGAGAAGAGGGGAATGAATAAAAGGTGTGGCTGCTAGTGGCTAGGGTTAACTTAAAGGGTTTTGTTGATTTCTCAAAAAAATTAAAAAACTTTTCTGAAATGTTAGAGGCATGAAGGTTTGAACCCTTGCGCTGCAACTTGAAAATTTTCCCTGAAACCAACTTGGCAACAGGTTTTGTTTTGTTATGATTGTATGACTAAACTATTTATAATATTGAAACAAAATAATTAAATATATATATATCGGTTCGGTTCGGTTTCCGAACCTCAAAAACCAAAACCGAACTGACCAGATTCAGTTCGGTTTGGTTTGACAGTTTCGGTTCGGTTTGTTTTCGGTTCGGTTTTTTTTTGCCTCGGTCCGGTTTGGTTTTCGGTTTTTTTCGGTTTTCGGTTTTTTGAACCCACCCCTAAATGCTACCGCCGCCAGAAATATAAAAGTTCAGGAAAGGGACAAATGGGTAATTTAGTCATTCCACTACGACAATCCAAAAAGCAACCCAAAATGGAACCTGGGTAATTGATAACGCAGCAGACAAAGCGGGAGTCAATGGACCCCAAGCAGATAATCACGTTCCTTTTCTTAATCTCCACCACCGTCATCTCCGCCCATGAATACCTCCGACCACCGCCTCGCAAGGCCCTCCATTTCCCATGGAGTCGAAAATCCTCTTCTCTTCCCCAGCAGGTGAGTGAATCACCACCTTCTCGCTCCTCTGTTTCTGTCACTTTCTGGAAATGTCAAGATTTTCTGGGGAAAAATTTGGATCCCAACTCCACTTTCCACGAAGGCCGGAATATTTTGCTCCGTTTTAACTTGGGTTCTGTTTGGTTTGCCAGAAAATACTTTACTTTCTGTCTAATCTTTGTTTTTGTTTACCTTTTTCCTTGGTTTGGTATGTTGAGTAATATTTTTTTTTTTTTAACAAACGATATTATCTTCTCATTAAGATAAAAGAATTTATCTGAGTAGCAATAATATGGTTCAAATTCGTCTATGTCAATAATTAAACCTAATACCTCTCACTTGCTCTCAAACGCTTACAAAGAAAAATGAATACCACTAAAACGTGCTACTAAGTGGCTGTATGTTGAGTAACTTGATTCTTATTTGTTTATGCTTAGTTAATAGAGGTAGCTAGTGTAAGATTAAGAGAGCATGGTTGGAAATTGATCGAAATCAAGATGGGGTCGTTGTGTTGGTTCGCTCAGTGTAATGGTAGTTCTTGTTTGCGGTTGTGAGCTCTGTGGTAGTGTAAGATTAACAGGTGTTATTCCAAACTATCATTTTTTCAATCGTAGGCGAAATCCAGTTCCACTAAGAATCAAATTCATTCTGACCAAAGCGACCTATCTCGATTTGAGTCATTACCTTTGTCCACTTGATTTTTCTGTTATTTTCACTCAAACACTAGGTACTGAAAGTCATTTTGTGTTGCACCATGAGCTGCAGCACATTTTGTTCCAATGGCTACTTGAACCAGCACCATATAACCTCCCCATTTGCAGCCAATTTCAATACCTTTTCCCAGGGCCATGTTGCTAATGCCTCTACCCAATTAAGCCTCGTAATTTCGTTTCAAGGCTTTGCCAATTATGACCATAATTCATGAGCCCTCATATAGCTGGATAGGGCAGAAATAAACATACTTCAGGTGAAAAGTTTTCTGGTCGATCAATTGACTCCGTGCGTTCTGTCTTAAACAGAAAAAGTTTCTAAGGTTTTTGGCTGAAGTACATGTGGGAGTGTTCCTTGAATTTCAACAAATCCTCTTTTATTCAATTAATTGGCATGTTAATGCGCATACACTGAATTGAAATTTGGAATTCTTGGATGTTATGATTGCATAATGAACATGATTATCATTGATAGCGACATAATCAACACGATTTGTGCTCAGGGAAAGTAATTTGTTAGGTATTAGGTCTTTGTCTGATATTTTATTGTTATTGACTCCCAATTTTACAGTTTTCTTCAGGGTTTATTAATTATTTACCCTAATATATATACATTTCTGCACAAATGCCTATTGCAGGTGCACGTCTCTTTGGCAGGAGACGAGCACATGCGAGTGACGTGGGTCACTGATGATAAATCTGCTCCTTCAGTTGTCGAATATGGAACATCATCTGGGACATACAGTTCTGTAGCTCATGGAGAAAGCACCTCTTATACTTATATGCTCTATAGCTCAGGAAAGATACACCATACTGTCATTGGGCCTCTTGAACATGACACCGTCTACTTCTACCAATGTGGAGGCCAAGGTCCTGAGTTTCAGTTCAAGACCCCTCCAGCTCAATTTCCAATTACTTTTGCTGTGGCTGGAGATCTCGGACAAACTGGATGGACAAAGTCAACCCTAGACCACATTGATCAGTGCAAATATGATGTGCATCTGCTTCCTGGAGACCTTTCATATGCTGATTACATTCAGTCTCGGTGGGATACATTTGGTGAGCTGGTGCAGCCACTTGCAAGTGCAAGGCCATGGATGGTAACCCAAGGGAACCATGAAAAGGAAAATATACCATTGTTAAAGGATGGGTTTCAATCCTATAATTCCAGGTGGAAAATGCCGTATGAAGAAAGCAGATCAAGTTCAAATCTTTACTATTCCTTCGAACTTGCAGGTGTCCATGCTATCATGCTCGGTTCATATACTGATTATGATGAGTATTCAGATCAATACAGGTGGTTGAAGGTTAGTTAAATCCTCTTCTCCTATCAGAAGGAATAGTCTTTTCTACACTAAGTAATAAACAGTATATTAGTAATAATCATTCTGATTCTTTATCAGTAGCTTCCTTGGATCTTGTAACTGTTTACGGTATGTGCCATCTGTTGGATGTTTTCTGTAACATTTTCATATAGGTCTTATATGTGTTTATGTGACATATTCTCATAGATCACACTATGCTTTGATTGGCTAATAGTTTTTTGGATGGGTGAACATGGCATGCCCTCCCCCCATGTGTCTTCGTATCTTTTGTCTTTGGAAACTTGAAAAGTTCAATGGTGGGTAGTAGGGATGGGCATTGGGTGCTAGGGATGTGGCGGTGGCGGTAGGTACCTGTGCTCATCCCTAGTGGCCACTAGTATCTGTGTATATGCCCAGTAAGTAAATGAACCCATTCTAACAATCCATCACAAAATAAGTTGGTACAGAAGTTAGGGATGGTCAAAAAATCTTCGGAGCCTCAACTGTGGAAGTAGAAACATATAAAAAGGCAATTTATTAACATAAATCTCGTTCTGGTGTTGTTCCCAGTGTAGCCTTTAGGTGCAGAAGGTTGGTTTGCTGATTAAGAATTGCCAATCTCTATCACAAAGCAGGCCTTGAACAATGAGGGGTCCATATTTGAATATACCAACAAGGCATTGTCTTCAAGTATTATTACTTCAATACCAGTTTAGATGTACTTTTGGAGTCGTTTACGTTCATCTTCTATCTTGCTTTTGGAGCTTTTTGCTTCTTTCACTGCCTCTCTTGTGTCAATCTTTATATAACATAACCAGTCATTCAGCTACATGTGTGACGGTTATTTGATGTCATTCTTGTGAAACAGGCTGATCTTTCAAAGGTTGACCGACAGAAGACACCTTGGCTGCTCGTGCTATTTCATGTTCCCTGGTACAATAGTAACAAGGCTCATCAAGGTGAAGGGGACAGCATGATGGCAGCAATGGAGCCGTTGCTTTATGCTGCCAGTGTGGATATAGTGTTTGCTGGTCATGTTCATGCTTATGAACGGACGGTATAGCTATGCTAATTTCGCATGTTTTTCTATAGTATAAATTGAGGGCACTCAATGTTTAATCCATGACGCCCTGTTTGACAGAAACGCGTGAACAAAGGAAGATCAGATACATGCGGTGCTGTCCACATAACCATTGGTGATGGCGGAAACAGAGAAGGGTTAGCTCACAAGTATGTATCTGTGCTCAAAATTTTCAAATTTCCAATTTTGGAAAATATAATGTTTTCTCGACTTTCATGTGCTTGGAAAAACAATCCTGAAATCGGTTCTCAATGGCATGAGATCTGGACATTTGAGTTTTTAATTCTCTATGATATACTATTATTCAGCACATATGAGTCTCATCGGCATTAGACTCTTTCAATTCAAACGTGGTGCTTGTTTTAACTGTTTTAAGTACTCCAACATTGGCGTTGGAAAAGAACGAAAGCTTCCACCCTTTCAATACAGAGTGGGGGTTTTTTGCAGTATTCTGAATATTTCAGCTGAAACAGCAGTGTAAAGCTGATTATATTAAAATTTGATCCAATTTTTCACAAATTTACAGGTATAAAAGCCCATCACCTGAGTGGTCAGTTTTCCGGGAAGCAAGTTTTGGTCATGGTGAGCTGAATATAAAGAACTCGACCCATGCCTTATGGACCTGGCATAGGAATGACGATGACGAGCCTGTAAGATCCGATCAGGTCTGGATAACCTCGTTGGTTAGTTCGGGATGCGTTGCTGAGAAGAGACACGAACAAAGGAAGATACTCATCCAACCATAGAAGATGTAATCAAATCAAGTTTATCAAATCAAGGGGGTCTACATTTAAGATGAACTTTGTGCTATTTGGGCTCTCTCTTCTGGTTGGCCTCTTCGGAAAATTGGCTTTCTGCAGTTCGAATGTGCAAGCGCTTCTGTGTATGTGTCAAACCTTATGCATGCATGCATGTACCATATATATTTATGCAGTAGAATTTTCCCTGTATTTGTGTCATATGTAACATATATATAGTAAGATTATCCCTTTATGTTGTTCTTGGTGGTAAATATTATGTATTTCTGGTTATACATACAGAACTGAGGGTTCTGTTATACAAAACTTGGATTAAATTTTTACCATAAAAAAATGAAATTAAAAATTAAAATAGCTATCAAACTGGCTATTAAACAAAAAACGAAAAAAATGTGTGAGAAGTAACGCGAGCAATGAATAGGTCCCATCTTGGTCAAGGGTGGTGCTGTTTACAATAAATACTTGGATAATAAACTATGTCGTTTTAGGAAGAGAGACTGCCTCTATATGACTGCCTATTTTTGTAACCAACGTGTCTATTTAGTTTAAGTTATTTTGAATACAATGGTATATTTATACTAAGGAATGAGAGCATTGCGTTAAGTTGTTATCAAATGTTTGTTTCTCTCTCTTCCAGAAGACTTTTGATCTTGTTTAGTTTGTGTTTAAATTTAAAACTCCTATAGTTCTTTGCCCCATGAAGTTTATTTAATACAAATAAATATACTATTACTTAGTATTACAATCTAGTGATATTCTTCTTCACTTGTAAGCGAGAAGTCTTAGGTCCGAATCATGTGATTAGCGAGTTCACAACCAATTTATTCTCCTAACCCCTTAGTGTGTAACCGATAAATGAGGGGTGAGGAATTGCACTACGGTACACAATAGACTAGCCATTATAATTGATTTCAAACTCCTTATCCACGAGAGTCGAATCTAAGCCTTTTTACTTACAAATAAAGATGAATAATCATAGTTAGTGGTTGCCCGACAAAGTTAAACATTACATCTTATAATTTGCATTCGAGACTTCTTTAGAATTGAGTACCAAACCTGACTGCGCTTAAGCAACTGTGGATTTTTCATATCTATCTGTGCACTTGGAGTCTTGCTCTTGATCTCTCTTCCCCCTCCAAAGTATAATCTGCTCATCCTTGAACAAAAAAGGGATGCAAGGCGCTAGATCCTGAATATATAAGAAGAAAAAAAAAATTAACAAGAATGGGTTAGAGACCCCCAAGTACCACCAAACCGTCTAAGCTTAACCAATACATACCGTACCCTTAATTTTACGCCTATCCTTTTGCAATCGCTGGTACCAACATGCGTGCAGTCTTGTCTCACTACCTCTTCAGTATTGAAGGCCTCCCTAACTCTATCCACAACATTCACTTACACACCATTTCTAGCTGCATAAGAAAAAGTTTTGCTAAGTGACCACGAAATTTTTCCACATCCCATTTACTATTATAAACAACAAAGGAATGCAGACATCATCCAAAACATCCAACAATTAAAATTCACTTCCTAAGTTCCCTTATTTTAAGATAAGACACTTACTAAGTTTCATTAGAGGTGGACAATTTAGTCCTCTGTTTCTTAACTCCGTTTCTTCAAATGTCAAACCGTCAGCAACATTCTTCACAAGCTTTGGATATATCGGAGGATACGGCTTCCAGAGCATTACAGGTATCACAGATCGATTCTTCGGATCATAGTTTCTACCCCGATATAATATAAGGACATTAATGTGCCGGTAAATAATCTTCCCACCGCACTTGTCCTGCATATACACTACTATGCCCATCAGCCAACGACGGATCCACATAGGGACCTGGGAGGTCCCAGGACCCGTCTGCGATCCTAAATCACTGCTAGAAATTTTCCTGGGACCCCTCGTACTCGATCATGAGGTCTGTGCAAGTTGTAGGTTGTAGGTTGCAGGTTGCAGTGGCTGTCTTCTTCTCGGAGAAGATGACCGCGCACGGAGAAAAAAGAAAATAGGGATCCTTCCAGCCTCTCTCCTCCTTGCTTCTGCCATGGTCTCATCCATCGATGCCACCCACTTCTCCTCCAACCTTTCTCTGTCGTCTGGCGGAGCAGTACATAAGCCCAAATTTCCCCAAATTATTTCAACCACCTTAGTAATTTTTCTTATGGGTGAAATTTCCTACATAAGGTAGTAAGATGGATATGATCTGTCATGTGTTGGTGAAATTTGGGGGTGGAGCTGCCATGGGGAGGGAGGTGGTTGGTGGAGGTATAGCAACTGTGTTCTTAGTGAGAGAGAAAGTGGATGTTTGGAAACTAGTAAAAGAGAAAAATAGTGTGTTTGGTTAGAAAGATAGTGGGAGTTTGGGGAAAGTTTTATTTGACCGGTGTTTTAAACTTAGTGGTCCATATTAGATAATCAATAACTTAGGTACTCCCTAGTAACTTATGAAACCTATGATTTTATAATTTGTAATATTGTTTTGCATATGATTTTTGAATGAAATGTTTTATATTGAAATTTTCAATGTTGTTTTTGTCTATAAATTTTTTGACCTTTATTATTGGGACCTCCTCAGTTTAAAATCCTGGATCCGCCACTGTCATCGGCTAATAATTTCCGAACAACGAAACTCAACCTATGATTCATTTACGGAGCCTGAGTTGAGTTCAAACCTCAAGGTGGAAGCAAACATTGTCCATGTCAATAGTTGGCACTCCCAAACACTTGATCCTCACCGCCTCGGCTCGCTTCCAATGGTTGTGGATATCATCTAACATGTTATGTGCAACTCCTCCCTTTCCTGATACAAAAATTTCTCATCCAAGTCAATGACTACAAAGCTTAAAACATATATAACCAGTTACATTTAATACTATAAAATGCCTGAACAATTTCAGAATCCTAAACCCTAAAGCCAAAAACCCTTACCCATACTGATTTTCCGAGAACAATCACTATGACGGCAGCCTTCCACCAGCTCCGCCGCTTCCTCCTCCGTTAGTGGGTCTCCGAGAACCCGTTTTCTCTCCTCTGCGACCCGGTCCAAGTCCACTTCTTGCTGGGCCGGTGCAACAGTGCCCGTCCATTTCCGATCAAGTCGACCGGGCCCAAAAGGAGAGAACGTGGGGGACTCTCGGTAAGCAATAGGTTCGACCGCTGGGTTGGTCTCCGAATACGAGTAGCTGAAGTCGAAGGGCAGGTCTGATTTGAGAGGCCGGGACGGGTCATTCTTCGGGTCCGGAGCTTTAGACTGAGTCAGGTTCTTTTTGGGCTTTGGGGGTTTGGAAACCGGAGAGAACGGAGGGTCGTATTCGTATGGATCGTCAGAGAGAGTCTGGGTGAGAAGGCGGGAGATGGAGAGGAATGGTTTGATTGGGTCTAGGGTTAGGGTTAGGGTTTTGTGAGGTGAGTGACGCCAATGCAGCAGAGTTCAGTTCGGTTTGGATGCTAACTCGGACTGGGTGTGTTGAAGAAATGGGTATAACAGTAATTTGCGCGTTGTAATGGAGGGATAATACCGTAAATGCGACGGCCACAGTTAAAAGAAATCCACATGTAATATCGAAACCAATGTTGATACATCTTCGTTGTGGAGAAAAATGTATCAGCACATGTTGTCGAAGATGTCGTTTTGATATGATACATTATAAGTACTCCAGGTATGCAACAAACGTCCGTTCTAATTTTGATTCAACATTCCCCGACTACTCAAAACAAAAACGTATCAACATGTTACCGATACATTTTCGACAAGCACAACACAACCGTTTGTCATTGTGGCTTACCAGTTGGATTTTGACAAACCGAGCATAAATAATTGAAAAGAGTAGGCAAGAATTCATGGTTTTCAATTTCATTGATATCCATGAAACATGGTTTTACACAAACAGGTTCCTTGAAACACAAACCGAGCACCTCCAATGGCTTTCATCGTCAGGTTTCAGGATGATGTTGAAATTGTGTGCAAGAGAAATCGAGGACAAAACTAACCGGCGAGACATTGCTTAATCTCTCTTCTTTGCATCGTATCTGGTCCTCGACCATAGACCTGAAAACATCCAAGAGGTTGTCCAGCCCCTCAGGGCTGTCCCCTACTGCCTTGAGTGCATACACAATGCTCTCAATGGTGGAGAGAAATCCCGGCTTCGGCTGAAGCCTCACTTCACTGTACAAGCTCATCTTGTCCACATTCAACTTCAAGTGCGGCAAGAGTTTCAACCAGGGGTTTTCCCCATACATTCTCTTTGCCTTTGACCATGTTCCATCCAAAACAATCAGATTCTTCACCTTAATATCCATCGCCTCAAGGTCCCCGACACTGACTGCTTCTTCAGATGGAAATAAGAGTACAGATCCAGGAGGAATCTCTACCTCAAACTCCACATACTCATCCAACTCCACACTTCCCTTCACCGGCTGCTTTTGCAACTTCCGTACAACAAACCCCTCTGCTAGTGCACCACGCGCATCTGCGATGTCTAAAATCGTATCAAATTTCAGATCCTTGCAACAAGTTTGTGGCATCCAATTATGCGAAAGTGAGCTAATGACGCCATGCTTACCAATGGTAGCAGTTATAACAGGATCACCATTACCCATTTCGATACCTTCAACCGCATCAAAACCTACATCAGAATCCCCGGATAATGCATCCAACGCAGTAGAAGCAGAAACCTCATCGACATTGCATTGCCCATCTACGTGCCTACCATCAGTGAAATCTGCACTACTGAATTCATGTTCTTTCTCCAAAAAATCTACATCCCCTATTCGGTTTTGCGAACTACTCATATCACCTAAATCACTACCAAAATTGCATTTCTCACTATCAGTCAAACTACTATTGTTTTTCTCTTCTGCCAAATTTGCAGATAACCCAAATCCCAACTTTCCCACATTTTCTTCCCCTGGGCTGAACCCATCACAATACTCAAAACCCAGCTTCTGGGTCTCTCTACTTTCAACAACTTCATCAAAACCTAAACTTTTCAAACCATTCCGGTCCGAACCCATTTGAGAAACCGAGTCCGGCGGCCGGATAACGAACCGGGATTCAAAATTCACATCAGAAACAGTAACTACACTGAGATTCTTGAGGCCTAATCTAGCAATTCTAGCGGAATTAAGTGGGTGGTTCTTTTCTAAGCTGTGTTGAAGAATGGTCACACTTACAGTGTTATGGAGCCCCGGGTTCTGAATCCGAGTGCAGAGGCAGAGCCGGACCGGTTTGGAGCACGATGGGCAAATGGGTCGTTTGGAAGCGGCCTGAGTAGTCACCATTTTTAGGGTTTGAGGAAGAAAGCAAGGGTTTTGGAGTAGTGAGCAGAGATTGTTGTTTCGGGTCCGAGAACCGAACCAGCGTCTATGTGTTCGAGTAGCCATGGTAGAAAAAGAAAACAAAGGTGATAAGACGACGAGTAGCCTAATGTTTTACAAGACGACGTCTCGTTTTATATATGATTATATAAAGTTATTTGCCGATTTATCCCTAAACTTTCACCTAACTTTCGATTTACTCCCTAAACTTTTAAATTGGAAAATCAAAGATTTAAACTAATTTTTTGGCCGGTTTCCCTCTTGTCGTTAGTTTTCCGTATATTCTATCCAAATTAACGTTAACTCTTATCATGTGCATACCATGCAACTCTCCTTTGAAAATAAAAACATCACTTCGCTAGACATTTAGACACAAAAACTATAGAATCACACAGATTTGCACAAGTCAACATTTTAGAAATCTAGGATTTTTAATTATTTTAAAGAACGAAGCGATCGAACTACCCTCACATGTTGTGCACATATTTTTATATAACGGAAATTTAGATAGAATGAATGAAAAACTAGGAAATCAATCAAAAAAATTAATTTAAATCCATATTTTCTAATTAAAAAGTTTAGATAAAAAATCGAAAGCTAAGTGAAGGTTAGGGAGAAATTCGGCAGTTTAGTCAAAGTTGTTAGGATAAAAGACTGTTTACTATCCTCATGTTTTGTGGTTTTCAACATTTAGTACATCAAGTTTTTTTCGTCTCAGATTCATACCTAAAGTGTAAATTTTGGGACAGTCTCATACATCCGTTAGTCAAACTGTTAAATCTACCGTTAATTGTAACGTGGCGCTATGATTGGACGCCACTTGTCATCCACCTTTTTTTTTTCTTCTTCCTTCTTCTTCCTTCTCCTGCAACTTTTTTTTTTTCTTCCTCCTTCTCCTTCTTCCTTCCTCCTTCTTCCTTCCCCTTCTTCTCCTTCTTCCTTCTTCTTCCTTCTCCTTCTCCTTCTCCTTCTCCTTCTTCTTCTTCCTTCTCCTTCTCCTTCTTCTTCTTCTTCCTCCGAATCTGGGGAATTTTTTTTTCTTTTTTTTTCTTTTTTCTTTTTTCTTCTTCTTCCTCCTTCCTCTTTCTTCTTCTTCTTCTTCCTCCGACTGTAACTTCTTCTCTTTTTTTTTCTTCCTCCTTCTCCTTCTTCCTTCCCCTTCTTCTTCTTCTTCCTCCAAATTTGGGGAAGATGAAGGTTTTTTTTTTTTTTTTCTTCCTTTTTCTTCTCCTTCTTCCTTCCCCTTCTTCTTCTTCTTCCTTCTTCTTCCTCCAAATCTGGGGAAGATGAAGATTTTTTTTTTTCTTCTTTCTTCTTCTTCCTCCTCCTTCCTCATTCTTCTTTTTCTTCTTCCTCCGACTGCAACTTTTTTTTTCTTCCTTCCTCCTTCTTCCTTCCCCTTCTTCTCCTTCTTCCTTCTTCTTCATCTTCATCTTCTTCCTTCTTCTTCCTCCAAATCTGGGGAAGATGAAGATTTTTTTTTTTCTTCTTTCTTCTTCTTCCTCCTCCTTCCTCATTCTTCTTTTTCTTCTTCCTCCGACTACAACTTTTTTTTTTCTTCCTTCCCCTTCTTCTCCTTCTTCCTTCTTCTTCATCTTCCTCAAAAAAAAAAAAAAAAAAAAACCCTTCATCTTTCCCAGATTTAAGGAAGAAGAAAAAGAAGAAGAAGAAGGGAAAGGAAGAAGGAGGAAGAAAGAAGGAGACGGAGGGAGAAAAAAAAAAGGTTGCAGTTGGAGGAAGAAGAAGAAGAAGAAGAAGAAGAAGAAAGAAGAAGAAAGAAGGAGGAAAAATGAGGAATAAGAAGAAAGAAGAAAAAAAAAGAAAAAAAAAAAAAAAAAAAAAACTTCCCCAAATTCGGAGGAAGAAGAAGAAGAAGAAGAAGAAGGAGAAGAGAAGGAAGAAGGAGAAGAAGGGGAAGGAAGAAGGAGGAAGGAGGAAGGAAGAAGGAGAATGAGGAAGGAAAAAAAATTGCAGAAGAAAAGAAGAAAGGAGAAAAAAAAAAACGTGGATGACACGTGGCGTCCAGTTATGGCGTCACGTCATAATTAACGATAAATTTAACAGTTTGACTAATGGATATATGAGACTATCCCAAAATTTACACGTTAGGTATGAATCTAAAACAAAAATATACTAAATATTGAAAATCATAAACCATGAGGGTGGTAAACGTCTTTTACCCAACTTATATTAGAGTATTGAGTAAATTGTAGCTATGGTCCCTTAACTTTAACTCAATTGGAGTAATGGTCCCTCAACTAAAAATCCATTACCTTTGGTCCCTCAACTTATCAAAACGTGCAGCTATGGTCCCTCAACTAAAAATCCATTACCATTGGTCCCTGAACTTTAATTCAAGTGGAGAAATAGTCCTTTAACTTTAATCCAATTGTAGCAATGGTCCTTACAATATAACTCGTTTTGACAAATTTTTTGACATAGTTGATGAAAAGAACCATAATTATACACTTTGATGAGTTGAGGGACCCTAATTATATAAATGGTCATTCCAACATAGCTCATTTTGACAAAATTTTGACAAAATTGATGAAAATGACTATAGCTACACATTTTGATAAGTTGAGGGACCAATGGTAATGGATTTTTAGTTGAGGGACCATTGCTCCAATTTGATTAAAGTTGAGGGACCATTTGTACAATTTACTCTAGAGTATTAGAGGCATGAGCTTTCCACGCGCCAATACTGACGACAAACACAAAAGTCTCTGCCTGTGAAAAAAAGATCTTTGATTCGTGAGGGATAAAGATAAACCAGTGTGGTTTTTTCCCCGAGAATCTGAGAGTTTTCCCGGAAACCCAGTTGGAGAAGATGCACGATTTTTGCTTCACGATCCCTTACGGGTTGGTGCTGATTGGCGGAGGAGTTTTTGGATATTTCAAGAAGGGGAGCACGGCTTCTTTGGCTGGGGGCGCGGGCATCGGATTGCTCCTCACTCTTGCTGGATATATCAGTCTCAAAGCCTTCGAGAAGAAGAAGAACTCGTATCCTGCTTTGATTCTCGAAACGGGTACGATTTATTGGTTTTTTTTATTTTTTTATTTTTATTTTTAGTTTTAATGGTGTGGATCCCAGATTTGAAATGATACTTTACTGAGATCATAGGAAGTTAAAAGGGGAAATAAGTAAAAATAAAAAACCAAATCAGAATCCGGATCTTTGTTTGTTGAGATAAAAACATCATGGGATCACAAAGTAGGTAACTTTTATGTAGTTTATTTATTTGATTGCAGTAACTTTGCAGATGTTTATGTTTGAAAGCTGACTTCTTTTTTGAGGTTGTTTTGTTCCCTCTAGTAATCTGGATTCTGGAGGCGTTGTGTTTGTTTCCCGTTAAAACTGTTTCTAGGTTTGTAGTTTTAGCTTCGGTTTCTGTTTGTCGTTATGGAGAAGAACTTACATACAACTCATAGGCTAAGGTAACGGTATCCCGAATCAGTCACGCTATGCCGTGTGAGCAAGTTAAACACATGGTGACTGGTGATAGGCTTGGGATATCGTCACCTTAGAGTAATGCTAGAAATGCCAATGTAAAAATCCCAAAGCTTTGGTTCTCCACTGATGTCGAAGTACGCTATTTCTTTATGTCTAGGCTCATTCCAAGCAAGGTTTATTTATGTCATAGAACTAAACAGTTATGCCTTGGTCAATGCAATATGATTCGACCATGGTACGGCAATTTGAACGAAGTGGTTTTAGGTGTAATGTGCTCAGTGATCGCCTATCAAAATTTCAAGAATTTTAAGAATTGAAGAGATTAAGAAAGATGGTTTTGTATAAGGTCGCATTCGTTGTTTTTCTAGTCCTTTTTTCTGTTTTCATGTTCTGCTTCTGTTACATTGATGCTCAATCTGTGTGAGTCGTTGTTTTGGAACTAATTGATGCGCCTTGTAACAGTTTGTGCTGCCCTACTTACGTGGGTCATGGGACAGCGCTATCTGCATACTTTTAAGATCATGCCAGCTGGTGTTGTTGCCGGTATCAGGTGAGTTCAGATTAAATCTGCCTTTTTATGTGTTTCTCATGCTTCAGTTTGCTGGATTTTTATCTATCAATTATTTACTAGTGCACAGGAGCGTTTCCAAATTTTGTGTGTCATCAGTCTGTCAGGTGTTAGAAGTAACCTTATGCATCCGGTATGACTTTTATTTGTTGCATATGACTTCTTTCCTTCATTGACTCCCTTGTTTTTTATTTCCAACGAGTAAATTCCATTCCCGATGCATGAATATCTTATTTTCGTCCCTAGCTGGCATTAGCATAGAGTAAATGAACAAATGTACCTTTTTAATTTACTGGGATTAATCAGTTTGTGCACTGGAGGCATGGGGAACATGTGTCGATGTGGTCAGTGGTTTGTGGATAGTTAGTTCTTTCAAAGATTAGCAGATGTTATATATGGTTGTCTTTCGAGAATGGCCTATCTATAGCCCTTCAAATTTTATCGACGTCACTTTTTGGTGAAACTTGACTCAGTTGAATTTTCATCCAAATTCAAATCACACACTTGGATATCATATTTTCCGGTCAATCCACCCAATCATGTGTCCCCCCACTCACTGAACGAGTGAAGCTCTCCTGAATCATATTTTCTGTTGAAACTGTTTTAGCGCTGTACAATCAGTGCTATCGGAATATCATACTTGAATGATTAACCTTTTTCTGTCTTCCCGCATTCTCTGCTATCTGTGGTCTCTGCAGAATAGGAGGGGTAAAAGAAGTCGATTAGGAAATGGGAGAGTAATGAGAGCTGGAGTGGAATCTAATTCTCAATCCTGTAACCCTGTTATATGATTGGGCATAAAGGAGGGAAGGCGATGCGCCTCTATCAGATTATAAAGTCACATGTGGTTATCGTTTTGCAGTAATCGTATAGCGTTTCTATCATTGTCATGAATCCTAATTGTGGACTCTAATTTACCTATGATTAAAACCTTTAATTGGAGATCCTAACAGTTTCAATTATTCATAGATCTTCCTTTGTAACAGGATATATTCGAAGATTTTGACTCTAAACTACTCCATTTTGTTGCAGCGTTGTCATGACTGGATTTTATGTGTACAAAATTGCAACGGGTGGAAACCATATTCCGGCCAAGACCAAGTAATGGTATTTGAGGACTTACTGCCAAAACTTATAAGCTGACATATTTAAATTACACCCTTCCACTTCCACATGCCCATATTTGATGTTACCAAGCTGTTTGTCAATCCAATATCACTAGATACTGTGCTATCAGGTGTGTCAGTGTGTGTACAAAACGAAAGACTCGTCTGAAATTTGTCGAAATCTTGTTTCATTCATTGCCTCGTCCTTTGTTTACCGTACTTTTAATCGAATCAAGTGTAATAGACCCTTTGATTTCTTTGTTTAGCCAACTCTTGTTTAATGGTCGAGGGGAACAGCCTTCAGTGCATGGGATTATAACCCTAGTTTCTCATGAATTGAGGTAAAATTCTGCTTGTTTGAAAACAGGAATTAGATGGATGCAAGACTTTATTTCAATGGGAACCTCAAATGAGTCCTAATTTTACTTGGGCCTCGTTTGGTGCCGAGGATTGAATTAGATTCACTGTATGGATTAGCCATGAAGGAAACTTTTCTCTTCCACCGTAGTAGGAGGATTGGAAGCAGTCCTTTTGGCCATACTCTTCAAGGAATGAGCCTAGATTCTGTAAACCATTGTTTGACATTAACTAAACTCGTCCCTTGCCTCGCGCATGCCAACTTATGGTTGGAAAAACACAACTCTCTTGCAAATTCTACTATGCTCTGGTGTATAATATACACCTAATGAACAAAAGGGTGGATGTGCGGCCAAGAATCTAAAGAGCAAGGGCGGCTAAGGACCCGATGAATACAATACAGTGGTGCATACTGCAAGACCTTTGCATTCTTTGCACAACGTCATCTCTTCTCATTAAATACTTGTTCCAACAATGTTGTGGCTCCCAATTACAGAGAAGAAGAAAAAACACATTCTGGAAAATGAAGAGCTGACCCTTTTGCATTAAAATTCGTAGTCCATTTATCATCTACATTGTACAACATATTTACAGCTTCCCCATCTTTCATGCCTACGTATCCAACCGTAAAATTATGCTAAAATCAACAGAAACGTGAATAACTTCGACCATGGGTGTAACAAATGTAAACGCAACAAAGTCAGGACTTAGCAATTCTGCAACCGGGAGTACTTGGGGGGCAGTGATGGGCACCTTTCGTTCATATGGGGGTACGTTTCCATGGTGTTGTATAAGGGTAATTCCATTCGATACTTCCCTTTAATTTGACAGAAAGGAAGCTTCACGGTGTCACCATCATTGCACCACTTTGGCAGGCGGCTTGAATTATTTTCAAAGAACTTGAGCATGTAAGCATCTTTTATCTGCATTAATGACAGAAAAAAAAGGTATAATTAATACGAATCAACATATAAATTCCTTATGAGACAACTTCGTTACAAAGTAACAGAATCGAGAAATACTTTCTGATCAAGAGCTACATTAATCTAACAATTTCCTTGTTTATTTTGTAATTGTTACAACACTATCCAGTTATTAAGTAGAAACATTACTACTTCATCAATTCATGTTGAAGAGGAAACAAAAGATATTTGTCATTCATCTTGTGTCTCCCCAGAACTAGTATCAATTCTCCCCCTTTCGAGATTGTGCTTTAATTTTGGAGATGATGCAAAAAGGTGGCCCGGTTATTCAAAGCAAACAGATTAAATTTTGTTCACTATAAACTCACCGTAAATTCAGTGACCTGTATAGAGCTTGCAATTGGACCAAACAGTCCTGCCTCCTTATACATTTCAAGAATGAAGGCCACACACGATGTTGACTTCCCATCACTGTATTCCCAATCATCCTGTTCGGGAATTGTCAGCAGTTGGTCAAAAGATGATCCTCTCTTTTCAACTTCAACTAGAATATCCGGAAAAGTAAGGTTCTGCATGAAATACAAAGGGTACATCAGAAACTCAAATGGATATTAATGACTCAACGATATTGATTAAAAAATGAAAATCTTGACCAATTGATATTGCACGTTCAAACACCTGTGTTCCAAGTCTCTTGTTCAAGGCTTCGTTCCACATGTTCGCAGCATATGCAGGCTGTATTTGATTCCAAACAGTCATAACAGATGCAACCTGCATAACCATAAAGCTAACGATCAGGAAAATGTTTAAGGTTTAAGAAAACTTATTGAAGCTCACAGAAGCATCAGCAGAGAGAGGGAGAGTTGCCTCACAAATCACTTTGAACCTAAACAAAGCATTTCTTTATATCTTCTGTTCCAGTAAAAGAACCCACTACTTATAACCCTATTGGAAATGTTTTAGTTAGAAGGAATTTCTACCTTTATCCTCATCATAGACCCCTTTTAGTCCACTATGAAACAGTCATTATTTCTGCATCAGCACTATGATATACATACCCATCATGTTTATAGAGTTGTTGTGTGAAAGCCAGAAGTTAATGATCATAAAGAGAAAGATTGGGGTAAAGCACCTAATAGTTAGCTTTTCACGTCCTCTATTGAATCCCAGGCCTCAACCCATACAGGTAACAGAAACTACCAAGTTCAATAATAACTAAACCAGAACTAAATAATCAAACAGAAATACTAAGGGAAGTAGTTACGATTGTAGCATTTACTAATACTGTAAACTTAGCCACATAATGAAATATTAAATGTAGTAAAGATATGATACCACGTGAGCATCCAAAGGGGGTGGATAGTTGTCTTCTATAGTATCTATCCAGCTGAATATCAAGTTATGAAAACCATAAGGTTGACCTTCCATGCTCCTTGCATACTCCCAGGCAGCAGTCTCATTGAACTTAGCTCGTATATCAGGATGCAAGGGAAGCAATGCAATATGGGGATTGGAATCATCTTTATTTAGCTCAAATTCCCACCATTCATCCCATGGAAGCACAGCAATAATATCTTCCCCCTAGAATATGGAAGGAAAAAGCACCTTCAACATTAACTTCTTGAGAAGCACCACTTATAACATTAACATCAGATTGTATTATATAGAATACTAGAAGAAAAATACTAAAATTTTAAAAATAAAAAAAGTTGACCTGCAAATTCCTGTGCATTAATTGGAAATGAACCTCCAAACCAAAGCCTTATTCTTGAGCGAGAGAATGTGCCACCAGGCCCAAGGTAAAACAGATGTATAATACGATACAATATTTTACAAACTTGTACTCACCTTCTCATTTTCGTGTCCTGATTCACCAACCCATAGCTTTCCTTCAGAATCCTTTAAACAAACAGCAGAATGACCAGCATAAGCTCCACTCACCCACTTTTCTAGAGTCTCAAATCCACCCCACCGTCCACGAATCTTAGATATTGCTAGGAAATCTCCAGAGTGAATATCATCAACGCTAATATTTGTTACCCAAGGTTGAGGACGCTGATCAAAGGAAGCACCCATGTGCTTCTCAAGAAACCCAATATTAGAGTTCTCACCCCATCCGGTATTCGTAAACAAGGGGAAGACATCCCACAACGCTTGAAGGGTGCCTAACATCCCTGCTTGCATAAGGAAAATAGAAACTCCCCTGTTTTTCACCTGAAAAGGTAAGATTATAGACCAAATTAATCCCAACTTTTCCTTTCAAAGCAAATCAAAATATCAAATAATAACTGAATACTAGAAAGTGGCAACTCACATATTCAAACTCATCTTTTCCTTGCCACTCTTTAAACTCAAGTGTATGCTCCCGAGACAGTAAATAGTAATCCCATGTGACAGTGTATGGAGTTGCAAAGACGTAAATATCCATACACGTCCAACTGTGAGGCTTACTAACCTGCGCACAAACAGATTCAGTTTTTAATCGTTATAATACAAATCAGGTATTTTCTCTACTTTAGTAATCAAAGAATAATAAGAAGTTCAAGTTCATAAATATGAAATTAATGACACCTATATCGACACACCTGATAGGCTGATACCTATTACCTGAACATTCCAAAAAATTAAGCCAACATGAAATGTTTTGGATCATAAAACCCAAAAAACAATCTAAAGAAATACAAGAAGCTCAACTCAAAAATGTAATTAACACCTCAGGTCCGTTTGAGAATCATTTCAGTTTTCAGTTTCCAACTTTTAAATTTTAGTTTCTAGTTTCAGTTTTCATTTATACAGTGAAAATGAAACCGAAAACTGCAATCGAAATGGTTATCAAACGGCCCTTACCATCCAACTTCCCCAACTCTGATATTCTAGAATATCCAATAAACTTACCAATTGATTCAACCTAAGAAAAAACCAACAGTAAACCCACAAGCCTAAGCTCCCACTAAACAGTCAACAACTCCAATAACTCACAAACCCAATTATCCAAATGTATACTAATTACCAACAAAAAACATCTAAAATCCCTCAGAAAAACCACAAGTTAGTCATTTTCGAAACAAGAAAGTAGAAACCCTCTTAAAAAAATCAAATTTAATGTCCTGGTAACCAAAACTTCAAATTTCCACAAACCCAGCTAAAGAATCTCAATACCCAATCATCCAAATACTCAAAAACTACAAATTTCCAAAAACCCAACTCCAAAATGTAATTTAATAAAAGCCCAAAAATTGATCCGAGACCTTGAGATGAAGAGTTCCGCCGCCAAATTCGCTGCCAGTCTTGTTGTGGAACTCCATCCAAGCTGTGTTCTGGTAAAAACACGCGCCTTTCCACTCGAAACTGTCGTTCGGAGACGACGCCGAGCCGACGAAGGTGGGCAGGAGATCGACCGCGCCGTGCAGAGAGTTGAGGATTGGCCATGAAATCTGTCTGGGCAAGAGAGGAAGGACGTCGCGGGGGTGAAATGGTAATTTGACGGAGTGCACGGAGAGAAAAGTAAGGGTGGTTACAGCGGCTGCGAACAGTAGAGAGGGAGAGGAAGCCATGGCTCTCTCTCTCTGTTAGAGGAGAGAGATCCCTGAGGTAGTTGAACCTGAACCCGTTCCGTTTGAGAGAGAAACGGTTTCTACACATTGATTTCGTATCACCATTTCCAACGACCAGTTTGTTTTGTTTTTATATTTATTTTGTCCTTTTTGATAGATTGTTTACCCAAGCCCTCTATTTTGATCTAACTTTGACCTAGTTTGGGAGTGAGGTGCTTAAACAAAAAGCACCCATGAAAAAAAGCTGTGAGGGTTTTAGGTGTTTGGTAAATTGAAAAAAAATGGCTTATTTTGGAAGCTGCTGTGAGAATAAACTGAAATCAAAGGAAAAAGCTGAAGCTGCAAAGCTTTGGAAAACTGACTTTTTTTCAAAGCACACGGAGCTACAATGCTTCTTTAATGAAAATACCCACTATTAGACTGTTTTTTTTTCTTTTTCCAAAAGCACTTTTACAAAAAAGTTTACCAAACACTCTGCTGATTTATTTCACAGCCGCTTATTCTCACAGCACAGCCGCTTA